TGATGCAAATAGCCATTCCCAATGGCCATCTCGAAAGTAAATTTCAATCGGAGGGATCCTTTTACAAAAAATGTTGTCAAATTCTAAAGAAAATTATTTCGAGCTTAGATTTTAATACACAATACAAAAATTCCAAAAACAAATTATAAAATATGAAAATATTTCAAGCAACAAAAGACTACTCCTTGCTTAAAACAACAATCTGTGAATCCTCTGCAATAGTTTGTTAAGTGTTACAAATTTAAAATAACCTCGAGTCACAAAAACCTAATATCATATCAAGCATATCATTATGATCACTCTCAAAAAATCTCATGTGAGTAAGGACGTGGCAAATGTCCTGTAACTGGGTGATTCTAATGTAAAATGACAACACAAAGAAATAGTTATGACTGAGGCCCTTTTACCAAGTGGTTCATCATAAAATGGCACAATTAAATTACCACACAGTCAAAGCCCAAAGTTCCTCAATGGCTTAGCCTCTTGAGTTATGAATAAATGATACGCTTACCAAGGCACAAAGCACTCTGTTAGTAAAGATCGACTTAAAATTATCCTCTTAGATAAAGAATCGTCGAATCTCCTTGAAGGACACAAGTCATAGCTACAAAAAAGAATCATTCTCGGTCGACTACCTCCTTTGACCCAGTACACCCAGGTCCACGACAACCTGACACGATTAAACTAAAAGGTCTTAATTGGATTCATCATCATTCCCCCCAGCATACGCACTAAGCTAATGGCAGTACATATCCCTCAATCTAAAACCAAAAATGGTGTTAATATAAACTAAGCATTTAACTCCTACAAACTGGCCTTAATCGAAAGTTCTCTCTCATGATCGAGAGGGCTAAATAACCATAGGGACATGCACTAAAATCATATCATAAAGTTCTGGCAAAATGATGGTGAAATATCTATAGTGTTTCATCTACATTCTAAAATTTTGAACCACTAAAACTCTATCAAAAGTCGATCATGAATTTTCTAAGCTCATAAAGTTAGGTGATGTCAAAAAAATAAATCAAATTGCAATATATAATAGAACATTTTTTATTTTAAATCTTATAAAAATATGAAGGTTATTAGTAGATCTTTATATATATATATATATCAGTTTTGTTTTTGCCTAATTAATTATTAAATGATATTTTTTAAAAAGAAAATTGTCCCTCAATAATTGAGTCATGCTAGAACCTATAAATTTTTTTTAATGAGTCGAGTTTGAGCTTAGTAAATGAGCTCGAGTCGAGCTGGAGCTCAATAAAAACTACATAAGTTTTGCTCATCAAATAAATATTCAGACTCATCTCGCTTACATCCCTAGTAGATATAGAAGGAATTAGCAAAAATAATAAAAATAATGAATCTTGTTACCTTTTTCCCGCCAAATTTAGTCAGTGAATGAAAAATTAAGGATTTTATGAGGAATATTTGCAAATTTTTATGTTTGATTGCTTGTAACATAAATTCATTTCGTAGGGTGGTGATTGATGGCAGCTTCCACTCCAAAGATGATTGGCGATAGGCAATGGTGGCAGGAGGCAACAACAGCGAATGGGGAACCATAGCTATGAAATTGCACAAAGAGAAGTAATAAATCACGATCTGCAAAATGCAAATGAACACAACAAATTTACGTAGAAAACTCAAATCTAGGAAAAAACTTGGGGGAAGAGGGAGAACGGCTTCACTATAGAGAAAGAGGTGGAGTACAAAAGGCTTGCAAACTCTAAACCCTTGACAACATATTTAGAGGACAAAATTAGAGCACAGGAAAAAACAAACAAAATTTCAAAACTATCCATATAGCCAAAATTTATTCCGGGGATGATGCCCCCTTGGACCCCCTAGCCTCTCAACCAAACAACCCACAAATTAAAGTCAATATAAATTTTATAATTTCTCTTCCCTTTTCTTCCTACACAAGAAACTTGTAGAAATGAAAATATTGAATTAGCACACCGAACAGTGTAGTAATAAAAAAAATTAAAAATCAATTAAATTTCGATACCACTTAGGCTGGAGTTTTTGATTACCAACTAAAAAATTTTAGATTTGAATTTTTCGATGTTAAATATATATAAATTTGTCTTAATTGATCAAAATATTTCTAAAAAAAATTCAATAGAATAAATGAAATTAAAAAACAAAGAGAACATTGATTTATTGGTCAGAGCCTCAGAGCTAGGTGTACGTTTTTGTTACGTAAAACCTTTAACATGTTTTTGGCATGTGAGCAAACAATCGCAAATATTAACGGTTAGAATTACATGTTGAGCTCAGATGAAAGAAAAGGCGTTGGAGAAGAAGCGCTCCGCCAATGACTCTGTCGTTCGAAGTTTTATTTGGTCCGGTCGACCGAATGAGAGAAATATTCGGTCGCAGGAGAGAAATATTCGGTCGCAGGCAAAATCCTGCTGTACCGAGGTGTACCGAGTTTTTTTCAAAAAACTGGGTACACCTCGGTACAGCTGGATTTTGCTTGCGATCGGATGTTTCTCTGCATCCGGCCGGAGGACGTAATAATTGTTCCTGTCGTTCAGCACAGTACATTCCTCTTTTTTTTTTTTTGGCAAATTTTGGGGCGTTGCCCATATCATTCATAAAAATGAATTACAAGTAAAATATAATACAGAGAAATTATAATCTTAAATCTCAAACAACAAAAATGAGATTTAGAATTCTTAAGAAGCCTAAATGAAAAACCTAACTGAAACAAACTAAAAGTAAACAAAGTGGCAATAGCCACGAAGGATTCACGTCGCTCAAGTTTGCACGAATCGGGTCAAAAACGAGGGTCTGAACAAGAGCGTAGCCCCTGGTTGTCAAAAAGACCGTCCTAGAGGCAGCTGTGAAACATCATTCATCATCATCCTTCCAAAAAATAACACCAGGCGTCCAAAAAATGACAACAGAAATCCTGAGAGCAGCAAGAAAACTCTCCAACATCAAGTAAAGCAGCAATAGATTCTGCGGGACAATCACCAGTAAAGATACCAGATCATCAAATTCAAAGTTTTTTCCATCCTTGAGTTTTGCTATTAAAAGCCTTTCTAATTTTTGCAGTCACCGTGGCTTGGCAATAAAAAATTCCCCTAAAAATTCTATCATTACAAGCTCTCCATAAGAAAAGGACCATGGCAGAAGCAGATAGCAAGTAAAAATTAATGAAATATGCAGAATAACCTTGATCCATAACGCTATCAAATAACTCGTGTAAGTTAGGCCTCATCAGGAGATTATTCAGCCAAGGAAGCACAGATTTAGCAATGCTAAATGAATAATCACATTCAAAAAACAGATGTGTGATAGTTTCCGGATGGGAGTGACAGAAACAGCAAGTTTTGTGAGTGAGTATCCCACGGACTGCTAGAGCATCAGCTGTTTTTAAGCCTCTTTTAAATGCTAATCAAGTGTAGACAGCAAAACGAAGTGCAGATTTTTTGTGCCAGACAAGTTTGTGCCAATATACCTTGTCCAGGTTAGCAAAAAATTGAGCTCGGAAATTACCATACTGAGGATTATGATTGCCAAGCCAGAAGTGATCAGCAACTTGTTCCTCAATTTTGACCGCATGAATAAGATTGCAAATGTGACTGTCAAAGCATTGTGGGATATCCCACCTATCTCCCTGGATTATATTAGAAACATTACAGTTATAAAACTGGGCAAAACTAGCTAGAGTTTGATTTTCTTTAAGTAATCAGCAATAGAAACTCCTCCGCACCAAGGATCCCATAATAAGGAGAGCTTACTATCAGCATTGATAGTATATGAGATGCAATCTTTAATACTGATAGCCTTCTTGCATAAAACTTTCCAGTACTGTGAGCTGTTACCAGTCACACAGCGCCACAGAGACTGGTAATTGGATCTCCACCAGCTAAACAGTAAGTTTTCAGTATTTAAAAATCTCCAAATTATCGAGCAAGAGTGATGGTCAACAAAGAGAAACTGTGATATAGGGAGTCAATAGATGTAATGCCCAGACCCCCATTTTGCTTAGGGGTGCATGTGTCTTTCCAAGAAATCAAGTGTAGTTTTCTTTCATTAATGTTATCAAAGAAAGTGAATCTAGAACACATGCGATTTATCAGTTTGCAACAACTTTTAGGGATGATTGATCCTCTAATCCAGTAAACAAGGGTGTTGCTAATAGTGAATTTGATGAATTGAATTCGACCTACCTAAGATAAAGTCTTAGCTTTCCATCCATCTAAAAGGACAGATACTTTTTGGAGCAAAGGTTGAGAGTCAGAAACTTTTAATTTTTTGTAAAAAATTGATAGCCCCAAGTATTTCATAGGAGAGTAAGATTGTTGCATGTTGAGGGTATCCCAGTACATTCCTTTGAGACAGCTAATTTATTATTGTCTTTTAAAGTAACTTTTTAATAAAAAAATTTTGAAATAGAAATTTTTATACTAAAAATTTATTTTAGAAAACAATAAAAAAAATATCTCAAACAAAGCCTAAATGTGAAGGAATGAATAACATTTTTGAATCTTTTTACATAGAATTGTTAAGTGTGGAGTATGACTTGTCATTTTTAATGTAAAAGTTCAATTTTTTTTTTTTAAATGTGCTTTTAAGAAAGCTATTCTAAACAAGTCTAAGGCTTCGCTTCGAATGACATTCTTACTGCTTCATAAAATAATTTTTTAGCAAAAAATTTCATGAACTCAAAATTTTCGTATTACAAATCTGCTTTAAAAAGCAGCTAGTAAGCTGTCCCAACAAAATCTAAAATGTCTAAGGCATCTAGTTTACTTTAATACATGCATACGTCTGACTTTCTTAATCTATTTTACAAATTCTCCATGCCTAGCTATATAGTTAATATTATCATGGCTATTAAAATAAGCATGGCTACTGACGTGCAGCCCAATTAACTATATATGAAGTAATAGCTTATATTCTCATTAATTCATCTCATTAGTTCTGTTCGTAAGACCAAATCAGTAAATCGATACTTTCAATATCTTATAATCAATAAATTTTCAACATATTTTTCTAATATATTAATCTCTGCTCTTTCAAAAGAAGTAAATCATTACTTTACATTAAATATCAAACTAAAAATGGCGACTTCTGCGCAACATGAAAGCAGATCAGCAAAAGAAATAATTCTTAAATTACTCAATTAATCAATCTTCTTGATCGGGCGAGCCTCAAATCCTCCCTCCTTTCTCTTCTCAAGCGAGTAAGGCATGTGAGTTCCAAGGATCTTATCCCAAGTGATAAAGAATGGCTGAGAGAAGTTGTACTTTGTGCCATACAGCTGATGGTGGATGTCATGATAAGCACTGTTGTTGTTGAAGAAAACATGTAACAAGTTTCCAGGAAGCCAGAGACCGCAATGGTCGTCAACAGTTTTGATGGTGGCGAAGGAGAAGAAGAATATGGCGGTTCTAGGTGTCATCCCTGAAATCAGAAAGGAGAGAGCTCCCCCAATTGTGTCAAGAATCAGCCCTTCGAGCGGATGGTTGTAGAGAGCTCCAAAGGCGTAGGGGACTACAAGGCTATGGTGTTTGGAGTGGATGTGCTTGTACAGGAACTTGTTGATGTGCATGAATCGGTGCATGAAGTACTGCCATGTGTCCAACACCACCATGGCCACGATGAACTGGAGGATGATCACCGGAAAAGAAGGTTGAGGCAAGACGACGCCGCTGTCACCGCTCATGAACTGAATCAACATATGTGTATGAAGGAAAATTAGTAAGCAATTAAGCAGTTTTAATTTCCTTTGAAAGAAGATCATGCATACCGTGAAGAGGAGGAGGGAGACGGCTATTTGGAAAGCTTGCTGGACGAGGACGCCCTTCACAACGGTTCCCTTTGAAACAACGTTCTTTGTTTCCTCTTCAGCCTTTGTGTGAAGCCTGTAATGGTTCAAATCACCGAGCATCACATAGATGCCTGAATATATCCAATAAACTGCAATAGGCACGAAGGTGCCGAGCAGTTCATCCGACACAGGAAAAGCCATGACGATAGGCGTTGAACTGCTCGAAGAATTGGTTACTGTTGGATTGAACTTGATGGATTCTGCGCCCAGAAATAATAGAAAGAATGATCTGTAAGTTAGAACAAGTTTCAAACTTTGGAATTAAGGAAACAGAGAGGCAACGAATTGTACCCATTATTCTCTTCTTTATATTTTAACTTCTTCTTCTTGTTACCTGTTGATAGTTGTTTTGTGTGAAGAAGTTGTGGAGGCGACTCTGCTTTATATTGAAGAAAGGAGGATGAGGAAAGTGGTCTCTAAAGTCTGGCGATGACTGTGAACTGAAAGCGAATAGAGATTTGGCTTCTCCTCTGATGTCTTCTCTTGTTTTATCTCGGCACGGCCCATGGTTTCTTGTCTTGGCATCAACAACTATGAAGAGGAGACATGGGAAAGAACATCGAAGCTCTCAATATTCGGTTGATTCCGTGTTAATTGACTCGTTCGCGACTGAATGGGTCATGCGTGGATTGTGGACGTCCATTTTTGTTTGCAAGAACATTTTGAGTTCTGAGTTTTCTGATGCAAATTTCAAACGACAAATGATATCAAAACAAATTTAATTAATATAAAATATAAGCCACAGTTCATCTTGGTATGTAAGTTGCGAGCTTTGACTATCAATTAAGTGGTCATAGGTTCAAGTATTCCGTATGTGATGTGTATAAGTTTACCTTAATTGACCTAAATATCTCAAAAAATTATATAAGCAAAGTAATTTTATGTTAAAATTAAAAAAAATGACATGTAATTGATTTTTGAGTTCGAGGTGAATGTCAAAACTAAACCTTAAGTTGAGTCGAAATGATTTATTTTATTTTAATTGAGCCAAATCTCCAGAATGTTTCAAATAGTACTGAGGCTTTATTTGGGACGGCTTCCTTATTGCTTCTTAAAGCAACTTTCTAGTATAAAAATTTTAATTTTTGTACTAGGAAACTATTTTTAGAAAGTAGAACAATAAAATAATTTGAAAGTTCTGATTAAGAGCTAGGAAGCTACTGAGTTTTATTTTGATTAAGAGCTTTGATATTAGGTTGAAAATAGGAGAACGGTAAAATAATTTGAAAGTTCTGATTTGATTGAGAGGACAAAAGAACCCCTCTTAAAGAATTTATAATGCTCCTTTCCTACAATGCTCTATGCTCTTAGTCTTAATTTATAAGCTGCTGATGAATGCTGATGATACAGATGATGAAAGCTATTCTATTATATTCAATATTTGCGGTAAGAATATGGGATTTAGTATCTTCAAGTTCACATAATAGCTAGATTATGTAATGGAGAATCTCTGAGGAGGAGAAGCCTTTCATGCTCTTTAACATAGATTAAACTTATTATGTGTGTATATCTATTATGAAAGTACGACTTCCCTCGGCAAATTTTCCACAAAAGAAAATTATCTTTGTTGACTCAGCCACCTAAATTTTAATTAAGTTTGATTCTTTTAGAATGCATCAATTTGTAATTAAGCAATATTGCACATTAATATCTCACCCTTTTCCCACTTTATTACATTTCTATCTCCTCCGCACTTCTAATTCACCCCTCCTCCTAATTACTTATGAATTTGGGTGCCCTAAAATATTTAGCTATGAGGGACTTGTTACAGTTCAACTTCAGACCACCTATGCAACTAAGGCTTGAGAGAGAGAGAGAGAGAGAGGTTTGCCACCTATTAACAAAAAAATATTGTTAGGCTGAGATAGCAATGGTGAGTACAGTCATCAAAGACGCATGAAGAAATGTGAACACGCTTTTTATAGGGTTAACTTTATAAGAAAATGGAAGGAGAACAACATCAGAATTGTGACAATAAAGATCACACACTGAAAGTTTTTAGAGTAGTTTGGTTGAGTGAACTACACCTACCGTACGTGAGATTCATCAAGATGATCTACTACATTATAGGGGAAATTAGCGACTCATTATTGAGCTGAGAAAGGATTAAAAGAGAGAAAAACTATTCTTATACTTGAACTATAAAGAGATGCATGAAGAGAGTTGTGAGAAAAATGCCAAGCTCTATGAGGAAATGAAAATTAGGTGGTATTGATGATTGAGACATGATATATGATCATATCCTATGAATTTGGAGTCATCTCTCGAGGAAGAGGCCACAGGCCCACAACTTACTCCATGCTTTCAAAGAATTACGATGTTGAATTTATGTTATATGGTTGAATTAAAATAGAGTCAAGCGATTTGAGGCTTCTTGAGCCCTAATGAGCGAAGGTGAACAAAAATCCAAGTCCCTCTCCCTGTCAAATATGTATCTCCCTCCTACTTTTTCCTCTTTTCCCCTCCATCTTGAGGGAGCTGTCATTCTGCCTAAAGATGGTCTATCATGTCATAGTCGCAGTGGAGCTGGTGGGTTGCTGTGAGATTGTATGGTCTCAAAGCATGGTATCATAGTGACATTCTTTAGGTTGACATATCATAATTCCTACATGAGAGAATATGTTTTACCAATGCTTTTAAAACCAGACCGGACCGGCCGGTTGAACCAGTTGAACCGCGAACCGGCTGGCTGGCCGGTTACGGTTCAAATGCAAACCGGTTTCGCATCAAACCGGGATTAAACCGCTCAAACCGGCGGTTCGACCACCGAACCGGCACCAATTTTTGATAACCGGCAGGTTTGGCTACGGTGATGATTAGCCAAATCCAACGGCCGAAATCATTTCGGGAGGGGAAGCTTGTACGACAGGAGCAAAAAAAAGCCCTCGTTCGTGGCGAACGGTTCGCCTCTTCGTCTTTGAACTTCAACAAAAGGATAAAAAAAAAAAACCCTCATTGCCTTCGACCTATCTTCTTCCCCGACGGCATGCGAAGCGCCGAAGCCAACACCATTTCCGTGCTGCTCGTGCGCAAAACAAGAAGCCAACATAGTCATTTCCTGTAGGCCTGCTCATTCACGAAATGAACCAAGGCCGAACATTGCCTCGTTCAATCGTTCTGGTTTGTTTCAACTTCTGATTTTTTTTTTTTTTTTTGAAAAACATATTGCTTTCTCAAATTTGAAATGTGAGGTGAATGATTGATTTTTTATAATATTCATGTTTTTTGTATACTGGCTATCCACCGCAAAACAAGAAGCCAACACAGTCATTTCCTGTAGGCCTGCTCATTCACGAAATGAACCAAGGCCGAACATTGCCTTGTTCAATCGTTCTGGTTTGTTTCAACTTCTGATTTTTTTTTTTAAAAAAAACTTATTGCTTTCTCAGATTTGAAATGTGAGGTGAATGATTGATTTTTTATAATATTCATGTTTTTTGTATACTGGCTATCCACATGCAGTGCCATTTTTTTATACCGGGCTATTCACATGTTCTTCTTCTTCGTATTCTTTTTTAATAGACAGATGATCTTGTTTTAATATCAGAGAAATGGCAACAAAACAGAAAGGTGAATATCGTACTTCTGCTTCACCTAATCATATTTAGTTGAATAGTTTGATAAAAGTTTTGACAACTTACAGCTCTTGGTGCTTCCTTCACTATGAGTTTACCCTTCTCGTTCTCTATTGCTTCAGTGCAAGCTTTAATTGTGTTGTTTAAAACACTTATTCATATGCCCTGCACATCAAAATCAAGGAGTTTAGAAGATAAAACAAAAACCTAATCATAGATAGTTCAATAATAGAATTTGTTAGTAGTAAAAATATCTCATTAGAGATGACCTAATGGTGCATTAATCATTAATCTAAGTTGGTGGTCAACCTTCAAATTATGTTTTCTTATTTACTTTATATAATATTTATTGTTTATGCTTTATATTATAATTATGTTCAATTTTTATTATATATTTAAAAACAGTTGTGTCATTATTATAATATTTAAATCTAATAAATATTTATTACGTCATCCGATTCGACCCCGATTTGACCCTGGTCGAACCATCGAACAGCTAACCTCTTCTTCTTTCGGTTCATTGAACGGTCCAGTTTTCAAAGCCTTGTGTTTTGCAATTATGTTATCAGTAATATGCACCATGGTTTAAAATTGTGCAATAAAAAGCGCGCCTCAGCGTAATATGGTCCCTTTAAGCCTCAAAGCCCACGCAATAAGTTCAGGTTATGAGGCTTACGCCTCAAGTTTACTGAGGCACGCCTCACCTCACATTTTTGAGGCGCCGAGTACTCAATGCGTATGTTGTGTGTACTCAATGCGTATGTTGTGCGTACTTTATGCGCATGTTATGCGTATACTGTGCATGATCTTTGCTTATGTTGTGCGTACTTTATACGTGCGTATAATTTGTTGCCATGTTTTCTGCACTGTGCGTTCTTGTGCATATGTTGTGAATACTCTATGTGTATATTATGCGTGATCTTTGCTTATGTTGTGCGTGCGTTTTTTTTTACGTATCTTATTTACTTATTTTATATATTTTTATTTTTTAAAATTCTCATATATATGTTCGTCCAATTACCTATCGATGCTATGTTTTTACTTTTCGAATAATCTGTGATAGCTTTGCTTAGCAAATCTCTCCTGAAGTCGTGGACACATTGAAACGTTTAAAGATCATACAATTTTTGTAATTTCCTGGGTTTGAGCAAAATGTCCCTCTTATTTATGAGCTGATCTCAAGGTGGAACATTTCAAAGCAATGCTTTGTTCTAAAAGGTGGCTCTATTCCTTTCACTGTTGATGAAGTAGCCTTTCTTATTGGTCTGCCAAATAAAGGAGCAGAAATATCCTGGCTTTCCTTAGCACATACTTCAGTTACATCATTGGAAATTAAGGCAGACATGCTGAAGGTGGACAAGCAAACCCCCCCCCCCCCCCCCCCCCCCCCCCGCGGCATCCCCCCCCCCCCCCCCCCCAATGTTTATCATGTATTTATGTTCAAATTTACTTTTTCAACTTAACAACTTTAAAACCCCTCGGTTGCTTCAAAGAATATCAAATAATTCAGATGATTTTTTGTCAATAAACTGAGCTGGTTCAATTAAGAAATTTTTAGTTGGAAAGTTTAATAAGGCATCCTCCAAGATTTCAAATAAGAAGCCAGCAGGTTACATCAATGATTTTGTACCTCTGCTAATTGTGAGTGTTAAGTGCTAACTACTAACTGCTAAATTTATTCAAAATTTTGTTGGCTCAATGTGAGTGCTAAGATTTTTTGTCATTTGCTAAAATTTTCTTTCATCTTATGCAGATTTGGTTCCTTGAGCATACTTCTTTTCATGCTCCTATGTATGCTGACAAAAGGTCCCGTTTTTTACGATTGGTCGATGATATTGTATATACTACAAAGGTGG